CCCCCCCGCTTTCGTTGTTCATATCGAAAAACACAATAAAAGCAGAAACGAAAGAGACACAAAACAATGGAAAAAACAACGGTCGGCAAATTTTTGTTCTATCAATGAACACGTGGGAAGCGGAATGCGTTCGTGTCACCCAAATATATGATATATGACAAAACAAAAAAAACGTTGTTCACAGACAACAGTACACGTGAATCCTGCCGCAGGACAAAAATGTTTGTACTCTCTCTCTCTCTCTCTCTCTCTCTATCTATCTATCTATCTATCTATCTATCTCTATCTATCTATCTATTTATCTATCTATCTATCTATCTATTTAGTACACACACACACACACACACACACACACACACAAAGACACATATATAGTACACACACACACACATACAGACACACACACACATACAGACACACACACACACCAACACAAGTTCTATCAGAAAATAATCATTTTTTGTTTTTTTTTTGTCGCGGTGTTTTTCACTGGCTTTCCTTTCCTCTCGGACGCCCCCTTGCCCTTCCCACAATCCTGCTGTTCTGCGAATTCGTGCACTGCTTGTTCTGTGTTTGCGACATTAACARTTGCCCTCCTACTCTCCTRTCTTTGTCTGACYACTTCTTTCTCATCCGTTATGCCTTTTGTAAAGACACACCAACGTGGTTTTGGCAACGCGTCAACAAGTCTCATATCCTTTGGAAAGATCGGCACCCGCTTCGAATGGATTGCAACCTCGTTCGAGTTCTCCATCAAATGCACRAGATAAGCTTCGGCTGCCTCGAGAAGTGCACGAATTGCAAGCATYTRGAACCGCATTGGATTTGTTGCAACTTCTTCTTTCTGCATAATCTCCTTCACTAGCCTTACAAATGGTCTGTAAGCGATGCAAAGGTCTGTGYTGYGTTGCAACCGCCGCATTTCTGYCACAGCAGCCTCTCCAGGTCGGCGATTGCGCCTCTGAACCCCTTCGCTTCCGCCAATTTTCCCTCGTGTTTCCCCCGGGYCATCCATTGCTGCTCCTCCCTGCCCCCTCCCYCATCCTCTCCCTCGTCCACGTGCCATTGGTGTTCTTTCCCCCTTCCYATTTCCTCCTCTCCCCCTGTGCTAGTGTCGGTGTTCCCCATTGTCTGTTTTGCTTGTGGCCTTCYGCTTCATTCCTYGTCCAATCTTCCGGCTACCATCGCTGTSTATCGTGCCGCTTGGTGGTCTGCTCTTGTCCACAACAGCACATCCCGCATCCGTGTCTTCAGCTGGTCTGTTTGTAGCACATGCCACGTCCGTGTCTGCAGGCGGTCCATTTACCTCACATGCTGGTTGTATTGTGCGTGCAATATGAGGTTGTGAAATGCCCCTGTTATCATCGCTGCCTGCCATGTCCTCCACCGACATGTACTGAATGCGATGCAGCAAACCATATGAGTATGTCACAAAAAAGGGAACAGCGAGAGGGTCTCTTAAGACCATGGACACGTCGGCCCCACACGCATAACGCATGGGACACACAACGGGTACCCATCCAAGTAGTGCTGCTCGCCCGTGTCTGCGACGAATGAGCCTCAGACAATTATGAGGTGTATCATTCAAAGATGYTGTGCCCACACCATCGCCCTGCATTGACCACATATTCTCATCTTCACGCCCGTCATATCCAACCAATACCATCTGACGGTCGTCCACTTTTATTTTATCCCAACACATCTTTGCATGCTCGCGTAACAATGATTTRTCGTTCACCCTAGAATTGCACAAGGACACACGAGCSAGAACAACCATGAATTGCCAATGCTCAACAACACCTGAAGGCATCCAACCCATAGGTAGCCATTCGCCTGAATSCAGTCTGCCTGCCATCGTAACTTTGTTTTCGAAGATGGCATGATGAAAGACACCGGGTACCCAATTCACATGATAACCGTACATCTCAGTCGATGAATGTTTGTTGAACTTACTCTGTGGAATGACAGTTCCGGATATGTCAATGTCACGCACCCTCTCCGACGTTGTCATATCCGAGTCCCATATGCTAATGAACATACCATCATAAGTGACCTCCTTGCCTCTTACATGTCGCAGACAAATGTTATCCTCCCCAGAAAAAACTTTCCTCTCTATAATTGGTGACAACACCGGGTTTTCAAGTGGGATCGTGAATTGCATTCTCGCGGCATCATCGATGCACATAAACATTTTCTCGGACTCCAGCAGATCCCTGTCCAAACAACGAGAGATGAACTCGCCGTTTATGTAAACTGTACTCCAACAGTTCCCCATGAGATCGCGGACTAAAATCCTAATCTCCCCATAGTCACAAGGAATGGTTGACGACACCCAACCCCACCGTGCATCCCGTCTTGCATCATTATCCTCAYAAACATTATCCCCGCCTCTTCCGTCCTTAGAAAGCACCCATTGCTCGGTCGATTCGTAACGATCATAAAAAAAATCATTAAGTCGTATCACCCAATTGTCTGTCAATCTCTTAGTAAGGACATTTGTGTATTTCACCAAATCCTCAACCGCCACCCCGCCGTTTATCATTTTCACTCGGTCGAAAATAATGACTGCCGTGATATAATGCCACGTCTCTCATTTTGGCGGACGATACGGAACTCATATGTCACCACTATTAAACGCGATGCAGTGTTGAGCACCGATCAACCTTGGTTGCACCTTGCCAGGTTCCCAATTGATATCGTACTCAAATTCGTTTCCTGCTGTAGTCTTCGTGACACAGTCCCTGAGAACTGTGCACTTTCAAGTGTTTGTGGTGTCTGTCGCCTCCCTTTTTTCCACGTCCACATTTGCATGCTTGCAAATGGCACCCAACAATTCCTCAGTTTCTAATTCCAACGTGCGTCCCTAACTCCTATCGTTTCCTGTCACGCCTCTCCCTGGATTCAGATCGCACAACTTGTTAGCGCCTTCTCCAAACATGATGTTCGATATCTGTTGCTGCGGGTCTTCGGTCGTACTTGCAAAACTCTCACCCGCCACGGTTGTAGACACATTTCAAACGTCCATCTATAACAACAGACATGATGGACATTTGTAAGAACATGTGACGACCGACACGCTTTCAGAGAGAGAGAGAGAGAGAGAGAGAGAGAGAGAGAGAGAGAGAGAGAGAGACAGAGAGACAAAGAGAGAGAAAGATGCAATGCAATATGAACAACAAGCACACAACGAACCCCGGATTTGAACACGGTTAGTAAATTGTGCCACTCACAACAAAAAACGACCATAACCTCTTCGTATAGGGCTCCCACTTCCCAACCTCATCGTCACAAGTGTAACAGATAGAGATAAAGATAGATAGATAGATAGATAGATAGATAGATAGATAGATAGAT